TATATATATATATATTTATAGTTATGAATTATGCATAAAAATATACAGCTTTATAAAAAGTTATTTTTAGAGTAGTAACGAAGAAGTTATTTGAACAAAACTTGGCTTTCTAATAACAATTGACGATTGAAAGGGAAAAGGAAATATAAATATAATCTATGGTATCAGTTCTGTTGCAATGCCGTTGTTTGATAAATAACTCATTAAGATCATCAAGTATCAAGTATTATACGTCAATGCTTTTATCAGCAAATTCTCTTGTTTGAGTTTCAACAATTGGATAATAATGGGTTCTTATCATAATAAGTTGATCGATTATCGTTGCTACGTTAATTTATCTCTAGAAATGAAGGAAGACAATCTCAATTTAGCGATCTTAAAATTGTCGCTGTTTTTATATGCTCAATTATCAGGAACAATAATTTAATGAGCATAATATTATTTTATGTTGGTAAAATAACGTAAGAAGCAATTGCCAAAAAATAATAGAAACGCTTGATATTCATCTAAAACTGCTGGAAAAATAGTACTTAACATTCAAAATTTCTTTATAATTTTTCCTTCAATTAAAGAACTGAAGCGTTTAGATAAAAATATTCTCTAATGATTTAAGTATAACTTGATTTGGAAAATGGAAAAAAAAAAGTATGTAAAGTTAGAACTTATAAATTCACAATCGTAAATACGATTAATAAAAAAAAGGTAATTCGCTTTTAATTTTTAATTTTTTTCTCTTCTGACATCACAGTTGATCGCGACTGCAGTGACCGGACCTTTAATATCGATGCAACCATTGCATCAGTCGTCTATCGATTTTCTTGAACGAAACGGCATACTATTTTAGAAAGCGATCGCGTTTCGCCAGCTCCATAGTTTCCCGCACACGTCAATAAGAAGAAGAGAGAAAGACTCTATCCGTTATCGTTTATCAGTGACCTCGCGCGGTCACGCCTTTCCGATAACAAGAAAGAACGGCCGTTCTCTATCTCGCTTTCAGTCTTTTCGTCTTCGAATGTTTCATTCTCACGAGCATCGGGATGTAGCTTTCTAACAGCATTCAAGTGCGCTAGTATTAATCGCGTATCTATCGACTGTTGCCAGTCCATCACTTATCACGCAACTTTTTTTATATTTTCAATGTTACCTATATCTCCTTCAAAAAAAAAAAATCAAAAATCAAAACGAGATCTTATGAAATTGACTAAAAAAAAAAAATAAGTTATTTCATTTATATTCCTCCAAAGTTTGTTCCTTAAACAGATCTGCGTCATTAATTGCTCGAAGAATCACGGTATGGCTCGATATTTTCATGGAAAAAAATATCAATTCACAATGGCTAAAAATCTATGATTCGAATTATACATAGGGTGTCACTTCGAGACACCCTATGTATAGTTAGAATTCGTGACGCATCGGCGGAGCGATATAAAATCAGACAACGGGATGATTCGACTGTGGTCGACCATCGAACAGTCACACGGCATGACGCGGCCCTCAGCAACGACGAAATGCACGATGTTGTATGATCCGGTCAGAGAAAGAGAGAGATAGACCGCCGACCGACCGACTGATCGACCGACCGGATGTCACTTCCTGTTCACTTCGTCTGTCCCGCGCATCGTTCTAACGCAAACTCTACTCGTTCATTCTTTCTTCATCTCGCCCAGTCTTCAGTTCTCCTTTCCGAACATTTTCGTCGCTTAGTGCAACATGTTATATCACCTTCATCAGTGTTTATCAGCTAAAGCTTCCATACAAAAAAATATACATACTGATCGCAAGTAATAATTACGTGTATCAAATATTTCGAAAAAGTTCATGTATCTACAAATCTGTAAATTCATCCCAAGCATCAAATTCCTAGTGAATTTAATCTTGAATCAAGATTATTAAATTAAAACAAATTTAATGTGCTTACTATATAAAATATAAATCTTCCTCGATCAATTTTATAATAATACGTTTTCTTCAAAGGAACTTAATTTTTGATTACTCCAAAAAGTAAAAAAAACCTATTATTTTTTTGTGTGTGGCATCACAAAATAATATTAATCAGGAAAATCAGCAAAAATCATGCAAATTTTTTTTTCACCTCTATCTCGAGATAAATCAGTTTTTTCTTTGATGATATAACGTTTCTTAATGACTGTACATGTATTGTAATAAAATTCGGGTCGCCTGCTGACCTTGCTTCTCGTTATCGCACTTGTAAGCAACCAGATCCGAGGTATGTCTTGGATAAGAGGGCGGGGGGATTCTAACGACATACCGCTGCTCTATATCGTTTCCATTTTATAATACATCAGTTATACCGTGAGATGCGAGAATGCGAGCGAGCGTTTTTATCAAATCGGCATACATTATCGTAGCGTAGTCGTTAATTGGATGCGCTTCGCCAGCGTGTATCTCGCGCGCTTTCTTCTAAGGACGACGAGAGGGATAGATCCAGGATATGCGCCACATACCGGAGAAACCTACGGACGCCTCTCGCTTACTCTTGGACGCGTCACGCTCTATTAGCGGGCGGACACGCGCCCGTGATAACTCGGAATGTACGTTTTCGGTTTTTCTTTATTGTTACTTTAGAAAAATTCCCATCACGCATCTCGTGTCGCCTGATTGTACCGGATGGTAATTGCAGCCGATTTGGATTCTTCGTCAATTCAAGATATAATATACCGTATACACTATAAATTTGCATATAAAATCCAAATTATGTATATCTCTAATTAAAAGACGGGAGATGTATATTCATAAGTAATAAATAACTTTTAGTAATTTCTAAAAGTATGTTAATTTTTCATAAAAAATTTTTCATTTTGCCATTGAATATCACGCGTATAATTTCAACAATATTTTAATTATAAATAATAGGGAGCATACAGCCACAACACTAGATGTTTTAAACGGAAGTCATATATTTAAAATTATCATGTAATAACGTAGTAAAAAATTTTATAGAATCTGAAAATTCCGTATTTTTCACACGAAGTCACACTTTGCTTCTTGTAATAAGAAATCTTAATGTAATAGAAAATACTTCATAAGCGATTGAATATTGTTCAACTTCAATTTCTGGACTTCAACTTAACGAGTTAACTTCTGTTAACTCGTACCATAACGATTGTAAAATTGTTTTATCATCTTTTTTGACTAGCTTTCATCATTTAATTTTTATGTATTTCTTTAACATCTTGATATTGTTATGTACAGATGATGGTCAAATCTTGACCGAAACATCTACGTTATTTTATTAGATGATAATTTTAAATATATGACTTCCCTTTAAAAAACATCTAGTGCTGTACGCTCCATATTATTTATATTTTTAAGCCTTCAAACAATTCACAAATATTTTATAATAACGGCTCGTAGTTTTCATCATTAAAGTATCACTTACGATTGTAATTTATAATTACTAAAAAAATATCGTTCCGATAATATCGTTCCCAGTGCAAAGATTAATCTTGTAAATATCGCGTAAGGGGATCGCGGACACCCGGTGTGTCGTCGCGTATTCCATCAAGGTGAAGAAACGGTATGCGCGGTATGCGCGCACTCGCGCGTACGAGAAGGAACTCTTTCGCGCGCAGGCAACAAGCAGATGTACGAGTGGTGCAGTCGCATCAATTGCATTTTTCCGCAACTTAAGCTAACAACGCCGTACGCACGTTAAAATGTACGTCTAAACGATTGAACGTTTAAAAGAATTCAATTCAATTCGCGGTATCAGAGCGTACCGATTTCCTTCCTTAATTGAATTCGAGAAAGCCGAAAGGTATCGGAATGCATGCAAAAAACAAAATCAAATTATGGAAATAAAATCGTGTCAAATTATAAACTCAATGATGAATTTATTGTAATTTATCTTCCGATTTTAATTAACGTATAGACTTGACATTCGCGCTCGAATCGTCAAAATTAATTCTTCGTCGGTTGAGGAGGCAAAAGTGGGCTGCATCTCGCGCGTCAGGCTGCATCAGGCACTCTCGCAAATGGCTATAATTCATCGCCGTTTACATACGCACGGACACGTACGGACGCGTACGAACATCCGTCCTCGAAGGCGCACCGCTCGAGGCGTAATCGAATCGAGCGAGTGTCGCGTCGCGTCGCGGCGCCGCGTCGGTGCATCCGTCGCGTCATCGACGAGGAGCGGCGTGCATCGTCGCCACGGGAAGGAAAGCTATGCACGTTGCCCGCGTTTCTCGAACGACACGTACTATCTACGTGAGCGGTGGCATGAATGCGCGCGCGGCTGCTGCATTGGCCGCATATACGCAACTCGCAGAACGAGGCAAGAACGAGGAGGAACAACGCAACGCGTAACACGAACGCAAGCGGATGCGACATTGACTAAGTAACGATCGATCGATCGACAGAATTGGGCGGAATTGGGGACAACAATTACTCCTTCGAATGATTCTTAAGAAAATTTTTCTCTTGAAAATAGTTCACGATGATAATGTCGATAAAAAGCTTTCAACAAAAATATCATTTGCAATGAACCAATGAACAAATAACAAGTTACTACTAGTATCTACAATATTTCAATTTCTTCTATTTTTCTAAATCTATTTTTTAGAATGAACCTTACTCTAAAGAATCAAGTCTCACTCTTAAAGAATGAAAATTGAACTCTTTTTCACTCTTTTTCAAGACTGGATCAATTTTCATTTTTCTAGATCTAAGAATTAGAAAAA